GAATAATTTAAAAGATTACTAGAAGAGATTGCACTTACTTCTCTTGTTCATATATTTTCTCATCTCTTACATCAATATTAAAATGAATTGTTGGTATAGAAGTGAAAATTATCAAACTATGACCATAATTAGTAGCCTCATCTGAAAGATTATTTGGAAAAATAACAATTGTAATATAGAGAGATTCGTTGATGGTTAAATAACAGGAGTAAGGATAAATGTCCCTAGAATGAAAACTTTCTTTGTAATTTTAATGACTTTATCATTGAATTATTTCAAATGTAAGATTGTCCTCTTCCTAAGAACTGAAAGGACCTCCACAGTGTGATTAACTTGATATGTCCTCGTTCTGTCCCTATGATGTGGCAGACAGACAGATGCTGCTTTCCCTAGTTTACAGATGGGTTACTAGGGCATAAAAGCAATACAGTGCTTTGTCAGAGATCACCAAATTAGTTAGATGCAGAGACAGGGCTGGGAGTTGGGTTCTTGGTTGAGTGGATTTGCCCACTCTCCCCCACTAGACTGTAAATTCTGACAAATGAGATAGACTTTCTCAAATATGAAGATTTCCAATGTTGTTAGTAACCAGGCAGCATAAAGTAACATTTTAGAAATATACTTTATTCTTTTTAAGAAGAACATTTAAGTTTTATCACTGCATCATGTATAATGCAACATGAATAAAGCCCTGCTGACTTTCGCATTTGTGAGGAAACTAGCATTCCTGTAGATTAGTGCCAGGGCAGAGAAATGACCCTATTATCTCTGTAATGGTAATATTGTGCCTCACGGGGAAACTTGCATCATTAAGAGTGAGTTATTATTTTCTTGCAGACACTTTCTACATGTGTTATTAATATGTAAAGCCAGAAGGAATTGAAAAGGTTTTTCTAGGGACTTGGGTATATAATTTAAAGCTTTCACCCTTACCTGAAACAGCACGTAAGTGTGTGTTGACACGTGTTTGTAGATGCACGCACACACGACTTCACACCTCCATTTCTTCGTGTACATCTCTTCTTTCTACATGGAATACTCTCTTTATTTCCCCGTTAGCTCCAAGACCCTTCTCAGTTGTGGCCTCCATGTTGGTGAAGCTTCCTCGGTCCTTAACAACCAGATTGTTGCTTCCCTCTGTTTTCCTAGAGTGGTTTATCCCCACTACTGCATCATGTTTTTGTTTACTGATCATGTCTTTCCATCTTTATAACTCCCAGTTGAGTGTATGCTTGTCAAAGACAGGGACTGCCCCTTTCAGTTTCATATTCCCGTATCTTGTAGGATGCCTGCATATATTGGGTAGGCAATAACTATTAATGGATAAAGGTGTATTGTCCATAGCATATACATTTTGACACTGCCTTATTTTAAAAATGTGTTCAAGATGACCGAACAAATGAGAAGAAAACGAGAAGGAAAAAGGGAAGAGGATAGGCAATAAAATGGGGCCAGGCATGAACTCATTCATGCCATGAGTCTGTAAGTGCATAGGTAATACGAATATAAGTGCATTTACAATTACAAAGGACACATATATGTGGAGCTTAAAAAATATATTTTAAAAATCCGGTCTGATATTTGAGCCAAAAATTGCATCTTGTAAATTTTGGTCTTAGAAAGATTTCTTATTTTTCTGGATGACGCATTTTTGTCAATGTATGTCTGATGCTGAAGGGTTTGTCTGGAATGCTCATTAGTGCCAAGATTAGCATGTAATCAGCATTTGGTGAAATGGAGTGGCCTCAGTTGGTCCCACTGCTATGAAAACAGGAATCTGTAATATGACTGTCTAGGGGCTCTTCAGTTCCTGAAATTTTCTGTTATTACTTCTCTTACCTGTTCTCTTTCAAAAAGCACATAGTCATGGGGTAGGAATGCAAGAATGCTCATTCGAAATAATAACCTTCTCTTGGAGTAAGTATCTTTTAAATTAGTGTAACTAAAGTACCTATGAATTATGGCTTGCCCTCTAGGTGACCTGTTTGCCAAGTTCAAATAAAAAAACATATTCTCATTCTTCTGCTCTCAGGATTAAATTTATGTGAATCTAGTAGATTTTTTTTTTTTGGTTGTTTTTAATAAGAGACTCTTCTTGAATCTAATTCTCTGCATGATCTTGTTGATGGAGAACAACGCTTTGTTTGCCATGTTGTTCCTTAATTAAGTGTTAAAGTAATAAGGTCTTATTATTCTGGGTAATTTATTTAATACAATGAAGCAGTTAGTCACTCACTGGCAGCTTTTCAAAGGAAGTGGGCCAAGATGCTAGTCCATTTCTTTTAGTGTGCCAGCCATTAGAATTGTGTGTTCCAGGGATTTGCTAATCAGCTGGCAACTGATTTAAAAGGCAGGAAAGACAAGACTCTTGAATGACCACCATTGACTCACCGACAAGACAGAGTGTGTACTGGCTTCAAGCCTTGTCTATTGGCATGCAGATCTTGCTGCCAGAGGAGGGAAGACTTAATGGCAAAGAACCTATGTGCTACCTTTCCGTGTTTGTTGCATATCATCAGCATCATTCTTGATCGTGGCTTTGGGTTAGCCACTGAGAACTACTAAGTAGAGTGTACTACTCCAGTTGAATGTTTGTGTGTTCCTTTGTCCACCCGTATATCTGTTGGTTCATCTGTCCATCCAACACTAGATTTAAGCTGTCTATGAATGGACTGGAATTAACCTCTGAAAGCACTGTTTAGCATTGAGGTTGGCAAACTGTTCCTGTAAAGGAAGAGATAGTAAGAATTTGAGCTTGTAGGCCATGCTGTCTTTTGTTAACTCATCAGCTCTGCTGTTGTAGGGCAAAAACAGCCATGGATGATATGTAAATGAATGGCTGTGTTCCAGTAAGATACTGTTTACAAAAATTGCCTTGCCCACTCCTGGTTTAGATAATCTGACTCAATGTAGTTTTACATGTTACACAAAAAGTTTAAAAAATGCTTTTAACACTTAGGGAGTTTTCTAAAGCAGCTTATGTCTCAGGTTTGTTAGTTAGCTTAACTGTCATTTGCTTTGAGCAGTTTTGTGGGTTTTAGTGTATTATTTAAATATATTGATGATTTAAAAAAATATTCATCTCTCTGGCATTGGTTATAGACATGCTGTTGGATTGGAAATATAAAAAAATACAAGAAATAAAATTTTCCACATCATTGATAACAGTACCATTAAATTTGATAGACTATACTTACAAATGATTTTAAAAACTGTATTTTTGACATGAAAACATGGCCAAGATATATTGCTGAGTGAAAAAAGGGGAGATGATAGAAGACCTTCTGAACAGGGTGTACAGGTGATTCTATATGTGGACAAAAAGATTCACATATGTTTATGAGTGTGCATACTTGAATATTATAAACATCTGAAAAGACACCAAATCAGTCAGAGTTCTTAATTTTCAAGCAGAAATCCAGCTCTGGCCCATATAAGCAGAAAAGATGTATTGAAGGATAGTGAACAGCTCAGAAATCTTTGGAGTGCCTAAGAACCAGGCTTAGAGGCCATATGTCTAGAAGCAGTACCCCAAATTCTACGTAACTGGTTTTGCAAAGAGACCGCAGCAGCTATCAGTGGACATGGAACTACAGTCTGAATCGTTGACACCCCTGAGCCTGAAAGCTGGATCTGCCTCCACTGTTACCAGTACTGTAGGATGGATTCTGGGTTCCTGCTGCTCTTCTTGCCCTCAGTGTCCATTTCAAAGTGTGGCCTGGGTGCCTTTGATCAGCAGAGCCCACATTTTGGGCCCTAGCTGCAAGGGAAGCTGGGAAAGTGCAGATGTGGACCTTACTTCTGTTGTGGACAAAGGGCCCTGCCTCATCAGATGGGGCATTTCCCTAATTTAGGAAGAGGATTAAGAAGCCTGGATGACAGAAAGCATGAAAGCTGTCCCCTGCAGACATGCAGGAAATTGTTGGTATTGATGACTCCGGGCAGTGGAGTTAAGATAACTCACTGGGGCACGGAGGGAACCTTTTAGTTTGTCCTTCTTTGCTCTTTGAATTAAAAAAAAAAAAAAAAAAAAATCCATACAACAATGATAAAAGATTATAGGGAAAGTGAACAAAAGGGATTGTTTTCTGCCCCCCACTGCTTCTACTATATTACTGCTCTCACATGGGCATTCAAGAAGGCTTCCCAGCATAATGGGGCAATTCCATCAACTTCCTACAATTTCATTTTAAAATTCACCTTATGATTTCCCCTTGAATTCAGTCAACTTTTTATTGCTTGTACTCGAGTGGGCAGAAATAATCATGAAATAGTCTTCTCTGGGATACCAGTGGCTTATTCTTCCTTTTGGCCTGGTGGAGCTGATTTAGTGTATCTTCTTGAGGTCTAAAGGATTCAGCTTTGAAATTTAAGGTGTTGTGAGCTGCCGTAGTTGATGAAGTGTCCGTAGATGCAAGGGGTAAAAATAAAATATACTTAAAAATTTGGCCCTGCTCTGTGTGTTTTGTTTTTCAAGTCACCATAAATTGGCTTCTTGATAGAAAACTTGTCTGAGAACTTAATTCAGTCTGATCAAGTTTTAGCGGAAACATATTAAATTTTTTTGACTTTATTTTTTCAGAACAGTTTTAGATTCACAGAAAAAGTGTGAGGATAGTACAGGAGAGTTCCCATATACCCTGCACCCAGTTTTCTACATTATTGACATATTAGTATGGCATATTTGTTTCAGTTAATGAACCAGTGTGTCACATTGTCAACCAAAGCCCTTACTGTAACATTTTCTTAGTTTGTACCCAAAGTCCTTTTTCTGTGCCAGGGTAGCTGATACATTTTCTACACTTACATGGGACTTTTTCATATGTGTAGTAATGTCATAGAGCCATAGAATAAATGCTATTTCTCTTTTAAGTAACTTATGGAATTTGGGGAGAAGAATAAAAGAAAGCTTTGCCACAGTGAAATGCTTATATTCTCTTGTGCACAAGCGCCACATGAGAAAAAATAAATTTTTATTTGTTTCCCTTTTCTATATTCAGTGGAGCAGGTTCCTGTAGAACCATACAGCATTCCCCTGTCCCAGGCCGAAGTCGTTCAGGAAGGGAGTGACGTGACTCTAGTTGCCTGGGGCACTCAGGTCAGTAACATTTCTAAGAACCAATAATGTCCCTATTGTGCTTGGAAGTCTCATTTTTTATCCTGATACTATAAAAATCCAAAGTGTTGTTTTTCTTGTATGTCAAATTTAAGTCTTGTTAGTGCTACATGTATATCTGGTACTGACTTCTGGTTGAGGGTGAGGTGCCCGTTCAGTCATATTAAAATATATATGCATGTGGTGAAGCCATTGTATAAAAATGTACTCATGAGAAACTGTCTCTTTTGAAGCATGCATTATACATCCTCATACTTGTTTCTGTGCTTGACTTCCTATCGTTTTCACCACATCTGCTGCCATCTCTTGTGATTACTTTGCTGGTCATGTGGACCATCCAGGGGTCCAGCCTCAGAATTCCATACCTTCCTCTGTTCCAGCAAACCTCAATAGCGATCTGCCTCTGTTTCCCCGGTCCTCTTTGTCATGTTGTCCTGCCTCCAGACTTTTAAGCTTGGGACTTTTTTCCCCGTCTGGCCATAGACTTCTATCTCTATCTCCTTCTTCTAAAGAAATGGTCCATTTTTCATTTTTCTGTGTGAAGGAAGTACTTATTTTAGAAAACTTGTATAGCAGTAAATGAAGAAAATAAATCATTCGTAATACTACACCCTCTGACTTTCTTCTCCACTTGATTTTTGGCTTGGAGAGCTAGTCCTCATGGTTTCTTACCTCCAGTGGGAAAATCTTTTATCTGTGTCCCTGTCACTCAGCAGGCATCCTTGCCTCTGTTTGTAATAGGGGAGTAGTGTATTAGATACTATGTCCTCTAACTTGCTTTTTCCTCACACCTACCGTGTTTGCTGCCAGTCCTTTACTCCTCTTTCTCTTTTGTCCTCAAAAGAAGAGGTGTCTGGTTTTCATAGCTACCTCTACAACTCTTTCAGATTATATTCCATTTGCCTTTTCCAGGGCTGTAACTTACCAGCTGGTCCCTTCCCTCTTCTGCATCTTCAGTTCCTCCTTTCAATGTCCCTTTTATTAAAAAGGTGTATATTTCTTCTCTATCTAAAAAATAACCTTTTCTCTACCCTACTTTTCCCTGAAATACCAGTATATTTTCCTCCTTTCTTTTATCACTAAACTTGAACAACGTTTTCTACTACCTGTATTTAATTCCTTAACTTCCTTATGTTCTTGTACCTTATGAGATTTGTCCCCACTAATTTACTAAAACAATTCTTGTTAACATTCCTAATTTTTAATCCAACCCTTACCCCATATTGCCACGGTGTACGATGCTGGCTGCCGTTTCTGTGAAACCCTTTCTTCTTTAGTTTCTGGCATACATTGTCTCCTGGTCGGTCTTTCTTCCTTTCTTCCTTTCTTCCTTCCTCCCTCCCTCTCTCCATCCCTCCCTCCCTTCCTCCCTTCCTTTTTTGAGAGAGCATGAGTGGTGGGGAAGAGCAGAGGGAAAGCGAGAGAATCTTAGGCTGGACGCTGGGTGTAGAGCCTGACTTAGGGCTCAATATCATGACCCTGAGATCATGACCTGAGGTCACACCAAGGGTTGGTTGCTTAACTGACTGAGCCACCCAGGCGCTGCCTCCTTTTCCTCTTCTTCTTCTTCTTTCTCTTCTATTTCCTCTTCTCCTCTGCCTCCTTCTTTTTCTTCTTCTTCTTCCTCTCCTTATTCCTCTTCTCCTTCTCCTCCTCCTTTTTCTTCTTCTTCTTCTTCAAGTGAGTTCCTCCTTCTCCATTTTCTCCTTAAATGTTGGTCCTCTGCAGGGTCCTGTAAGTTCTGCCCTTTATTTCTCCCTCCACATGCTTTCTCTAAAAACTCAACCTACTCCTCTGACTACTTTCTGTGTGCTGATATCTTTAGAATCAGTGTCTCTATCAATGACTGCTTTCCTTTCCTGAAATTAAGGACATCTTTCCAACTATTTTCTAGACCTCTGTGTTTGATTACTTTGGGGGAATTGGGGTTCAACATATCTAAAACAAATTTAATTCTCCATTGCAAATAAGTTCCTCTGACTTTAAACACTGTTTCTATTAATGATGTCAGAATTCAGCTGACTTTTTGGGTCTGAATCTCTGTAGTTATTCTCTGCTATTTTTATTTCAGGTTCATGTGATCCGAGAGGTGGCTTCCATGGCTCAAGAGAAGCTTGGAGTGTCTTGTGAAGTCATTGATCTGAGGACTATCCTACCTTGGGACATGGATACAGTTTGCAAGGTATGAATATAATGTTGAAAGAGTGTCATTTCCTTAAATCTATGGGCCAGATTTGTTGACAGTTTGCGAAGAATTGTTTTGAAATTTTGAGTTCATGAGTATTTTCAACTGATTGAAAACTTTAAAATTTACACCATGACAGAAACATATGTTGTAGAATCAGCTTAATGCTCAAGCAAACCAATCACCTGAGGGTTTTTCCCTCCCATAGTTCTTTGTTTAAAATATTACAGAACTGTGTCCTTCATGCAGCCAGCTTGGGTTGAGCTGTGGAAGTAATGGAGTAGTGCAAATGAAAGCATATCAGGTTGTGGAGGTCACCTGTGTTTTTAACTACTTATGGGTTATGGTTTGATAAGCAAGGTTTGATAGAGTCAACTAAATAGTTTGGCTGAATTTTCATTTGTCTCCTCTCCAAAAGAGATGGAGATGGATTATTTAAAAAACAAAACAAAGCAAAAAAACAAAAAAACAGAAACCCTCTCTACATAGTCTTCATACTGTGAATCACAGTTTGAATGTTATATTGTGGGATTCTGTCTGCTCATAGTTTTCCATCTAAGCGAACTCTTGATAGTCCCCTCTCAGGAATACAGTTCAGTTCTCATTTACTCGGTTATAACTGATAGCTTTCATATTAATGTAGAGATAAACCAAAGTTCATCTGTTTCCATTGTGGTATATAAGGAAGATTAGGCTCTATTTTTGTGATGGTCTTATCTACTAAAGTTTAAGTAATGTTGCATGTCTTACTTTTTCTTGATTTACTGTTATAGCAAGTGAGTCCTAAAACCTAGGGTATTTTATATTATTTTTTAAGAACTTTAGTATTCTCATAGCTTTTATAGGCTGTTTCTTAGGTTAGTCATGTGAAAATAACCTGCAGCTCCTACTGCTGTAAAACTATAGCATAGGGTGTTTAGGTAAAGATTGTTTTATAATTTATTGGAAGACTTAAGATTTGTTATAGGAAATGTTGTGTAGACTCACTTGACATCATCTAAACACTTGACATGGTTACGGATGGCTTCAACGATATTCTAAGTCTTTATAGTTTCCATCATAAGAGCAGTATTTTAGGTTGAACGAGAGTAGTGCTTCTTGCAGGCTTTTTCAAATCAAGTCAGACCCTGGGTTTTCTTTCAAGTAGCCAAATATTCCACATTATGGTTAAGCCAGAGCTGAGAGCCTTTGCCCCAGAGTGGGCTTCTTCTTTGCAACTCTATCCCCCATTTATTCTTGGGGTTTGTATTTATAAAGTGAATGGTGCTTTTCTGTGGAGATATAATGTTTTGTTATGGTGCAGTGGGGGCACTGTTAAATGGTTGGGGCAAGTAGTTTTAAATTTTATTTACATTTTTATATACTTTATACATCCAAACAGCTTATGGTAAAACACAAATATAACAACACTGCAAGCTTAATTGTGAAGGTACAGTGAAGAGAGAGGAAGAAAGAAGGGAGAAATTCTTTATTTATATTTATCTCTACATAACTTTGCTTGTGTGGTACACCCCCCCCCCCCTTTAGTAAATCTACTGGTTGCATCTTTGTGTGATCCTGGGATGTGGATCCTATTTCCTTGGGGCTCTTTACTACTGGAAAAGATGAAAGAGGACACTAGAGACCGCTCCTGAATGAAAAGGTGATGCATCAAATCTCTGACTCGCTAGCCTCATCCTTTTAGTCTTGTGTTGGGGTGCTTTCATCATGTTATTTTTCTAGTTGATGACCCTCTAGTTACAGCAGTGAAAGCCAGCTTGTCATTTCTTGATTACTTTGGGTTCTGTGACTCTTCATTGTTGACCATGGTAATCTTCTATTTTCCTTTCATGTGTCAAAGAAAAGTTTTGATACGTGACATCTTTCTAGGATTTGGAGAGGACTTTAAAGGAGAGGACCCTATAGCTAAACCTCATTAAAAGTGAGGCTTCTTTTTTTTTTGTTTAACTACAGTCAAGTTTTTCTTTATGAATTCTGTAGTAATCAAAATTTATGTGTGTGTGTGTTTTTTTAAAGATTTTATTTATTTATTTGACAGAGAGAGAGACAGAGAGAGAGGGAACACAAGCAGGGGGAGTGGGAGAGGGAGAAGCAGGCTTCCCGCTGAGCAGGGAGCCTGATGGGGGGCTTGGTCCCAGGACCCTGGTATCATGACCTGAGCCGAAGGCAGATGCTTAACGACTGAGCCACCCAAACGCCCTTCAAAATTTATGTTTATTATCTTTTTCAGTTAGTGCTGTGTTTTATTGGTTCTTTTTGTTTTATGATAAAATTAGATCCCTCAGCTTTTTTCATGACATGTTAAGCTCAGCACCCAAATGCATCTTTTGGAATACCTAATCAAGAAAAGCCTATTAAAGATAAAAAAATAAATACTTATTGAACATATGTAGACATTAGCACACTATGCATAGTAAAATGACTCTGGGACAGTTGAGGAATTGGTTAATGTAGTCTTAATTTAACTGTGTTTTAAAAAACGTAGTCATACTTTTTGCTTGAGCCTTGAAGCATTGTTTGGAAGTTATAATCCTGAAAAATTGCTTGGGGACAGAGAGCAGCAGAGTGTTTGAATGTTGCTCAGGGAAGCTACAATACTGGAGACCTGAGTGGGTCCAAGAACCATAGTTCATCAATTCTGGACCTGATATTAGAGAGCTAAGCTGGAAGCCTCTGAAAAGCAGAACAAAAATTCCTGAGTTTTAAAGTGCCTAGGAGACAGAGACCAACCCTGGGAATTGAGGTGGCTTAAGAACATCAGCGAGGAGAGTTGAAAGCTCTGAAGTGAGTAGTAAATTGGCTCTTTTTACTTGGGGGCACCTGCCAAGTAAGTCTCAACTAGAAACTGAGAACCCAGGGGTATAGAATCCATGTTTCATGGGGTTGTAGTGACAAAATAGGAAACTTGGAGGGGGGGTTGCTTAAATACACAGTTGGTCTCCCATTTAAGATAAATGCCAAATTGTATATGGTGGGAGCTGAAATACCTGAAAGTCCAAACCATCCCTTGAGACTGAAGTGTCAAAGACCAGTCATACTCTCAGTTGAACGTTGTGGAGTCGGGTCTTAGGAGCTACCAGAAGTAGATTAAAGCTTTCCAAATCCACAGCACAGCCTCTCTCCCTCTCAGTTCCTTACTGGATTAATATAACTTACCTTCTGTTCTGTCTGCCCAGCACAACAAGGAGTCAGTCCTCCCATCATCTGGAACCTCTATGAATCAGCATTCAATAAAAAATTACAAAGTATATGAAGAGACAGGACCATTTGATTCAAAACCAAGAGAAAACACAAACAATAGAAAGCAGAAACACAGGTGATCCAGTCATTGGAGTTAGCAGACAAAGACTTTATTATGTTTAGGAATATAGGAGGAAGAAAAAGAACAAAAGAGGTAAGAAAGTGAATTACCCTGGAGGGGTGTGTGTGTGTGTGTGTGTGTGTGTGTGTGTGTGTGTATGAGAGAGAGAGAGAGAGAGAGACCATTGTAGAACCAAAGAAATATTTGTCAATAAGAACTCAGTGGATGTGTTTACAAACTTATTGGATTTAGTAGATGATAATATTCATGAACTAAAAGGCAAGTATCTAGAAAATGTCCAAACTAAAGCACAGAGAGGGGGAAAATAAAATAGACTAAAACAGAAGAGAGCATAAAACACACTGGGAATCTGGTCAAAAGATCTGTCCCACATATGATTGGAATTCCAGAAGAAGAAAGGAGAATGAATTGGTCAGACACAATAAAAAAAAATATTTCTCATTAAACTTTCAAGACATCATCATACTTGAGGATTTGTGAACTTCTGAAGATGTATTCAAAGAAAACCACACCTACCTACACACTGGAATGACATCTTAAATTGCTAAGGATGCGAACCTAACATTCTGTACCCAGTAAAAACATACTCTTAAAGTTAAGATGAAATAAAAAGTACCTTAGGCAAATAGAATTTGAGAGAATTTATCACCAGCACATTTTCACTAAAGGCAATACTATAAGGCAGTTCTTTAGGCAGAAGGAAAATGATCCTAGAAGACAGTCAGAATGGGCTTACGTGGAGTTAAAATATTCTGTTGTTCTAGGATTTTAAATGTAATATTTTTACTAGATTATAGTAAGTTAGGGATGCATGTTGTAACAACTGAAGTAATAGTGAAAGTATATATCCAGCAAGTTAAAAAGGGACCTATAGATTAATAAAGTATTTGGTTAAACTAAAAGAAAGGAAAATATGTAAAAACAAAACAAAACAAAAACCTCCCCCCCCAAAAAAAACCCAAAGCAAAACAGGTGTGTCAGTAGAAAACAGATAGATGATAGCTATAAACCTAAGTATATAAGTAACTAAAACAAATGAATTAAATCTAGTAAAAGCCAATGATTGTCAGACTTCCTTAAAGAATAGCACCAATGTCCAGGTTAAGAGATAGAGCCTTTAAATATAGGGACACAGAAAATGTGAAAGGGATGAAAAAAAAAAAGACCTCTGGTATAGCCATACTAATTTCAAATAAAGCTTTTAAGGCAAGAAGCATTACTAGAAACAAAGAACAGTTCATAATGCTGAAGGAATCAATCTACTATGAAGATATAACAGTCTTTTATTTTTTTTAAGATTTTATTTATTTATTTGACAGAGAGAGAGTGAGAGAGGAAGCACAAGCAGGGGGAGTGGGAGAGGGAGAAGCAGGCTCTCCGCTGAGCAAGGAGCCCAATGTGGGGCTCAATCCCAGGACCCTGAGATCATGACCTGAGCTGAAGGCAGACGCTTAACCAACTGAGCACTCAGGTGCCCCGAAGATATCACAGTCTTAAATCTATTATGTCATCGATAGCATAAATTCAAAATACATAAAGCAAAACAAAATACAAAACTAAAAGGAGATGTAAACATATCCACAATCATAGTGGGAGACCTTGACACCCCTCTCTTTAAAACTGATCAAACAAGCAGGTAATATCAGTGAGTATATAGAAGATCTGAACATTTAGCAAACTTGTCCTAATTGTGTACTCAACTATATAAGAAATTATTCTTTCTTTTTTTTTCGCTGAAGAATAATTGACATACAGTATTAGATTCCAGTGTATAACGTAGTGATTTGATATTTATACACATTATGAAATGCCACAATATGCCTAGTTCAGGTGAATATGGAACATTTATCAAAATTGACCAAATGCTAGGACATAAATATAATCTTAAACTTCAGATATTTGAAGTCATTTAGAGTATGTTTGGACAATAGTAGAATTCAGTTAGAAATTGAGAAAAAACTGGAAAATCCTCAAATTCCTACAAATTAAATAATTTACATTTAAATCATAGATTGTAAAAGAAACTGCAACAGAAATTAGAAAAATACTGAACTGAAGGGTTATGAAGGTACTAAAATAAAAAATTTCAAGATTCAGGTAAAGCCATGCTTGGAGAGAGCTGTATGGCTGTAAATACATATATTTAGAAAACAGGGATAAGAACAAAAAAATTAGTGATCTGAATTTCCATCTCCAGAAAGAAAATTAAATCTAGAGAAAATAGGATAAAGGTAGTGATAAAGAGCAGAAATCAGTGAAACAGAATATATAATAGAGAAGTTTAATTAAGTTAAAATGAGATCTTTGAAGAGACTAATGTACTTGATAAACCTTTAGCAAGACTAATGGAAAAAAACGGCAAACACAAATGACAAATATCAGGTATGAAGAAGGGGAAATCACAAAATCTACAGACTATATACTAAGAGGATATCCTGAATGATTTTACAAATAAGTTTTGGGTGAAATGGACAGATTCGTAGGAAATACAATGTTTTCAAAAATAAAAATTAGAAAACCTCAATAGTCATATATCAAACTGAATCTGTTTTTATTAATGCTTATATAAGGAAAACCCTAGACCCATAGGGCTTTACTGGTGAATTCTTTAGAACACAGTTCTTACGCAAATTCTTACAGAAAATAGAACAAGAGGGAAAACTTCCAAATGCTTTATATAAGGCTGGCATAATCTTCATATCAAATCTGTTTTGGACAATATATAAAGTAAAATTATACACACATTTTATGAACGTAGATGTAAAAATCAAAATATTGGAAAGTTAAATCCAACAATATATAAAAAGATAAAGATGAGGGTTTATTTAAAATATGCAAGGGGTGTTTGACATTCACAAACATTCACACAGTGGTTGATGCAATTTCCCACATGAACAGAAAATGGGAAAAACAGTCATGATGATCTTCATAATACAGAAAAACATTTATTAAAAGTCAATATCCATTCATAATGAAAATTTCTTAGTAACCTAGAAATAGAAGGGAATTCTACTAGTCTGATAAAGAGTAGCTTTATCTTGTAGCTATGAATAGCTGTAAAAAGCCTGCAGCAGAAATTATATTTCCTACTGAAATTTTGACTGCTTTCCTGTTGAGATCAAGAATATAACAAGGATGCCCTTACATAAGGGCAAAAATCATATGGATTAGAAAGAAGTAAAACTTACTACTCATAGGTAACGTGATTTGTATGTAGGAAGATCTAGTGGAATCTATGGGCAAATCATTAGAATTGAGTTTACCAATGCCCCTGGAAACAAGGTCAATATAAAATAATTGTATTTTTATATACTAGCAACAAATAGAAAATAAATTGATAACATTTGAAAGAGCATCAAAAAATCAAACATCTAGGGTGAAATTGAGTGCTGCATATGTAACAACTGTGCAGAAAATCCCAAAACATTATTCAGAGAAATTAGAGAAGATGCAAGCAAACTGAAGCGCACATACCCTATTAATCAGTTGTAAGGCCAAGAATAGCCAAGGCAATCTTGAAGAATAAAGCTGGAGGACTTAGTTATCCAATGTGTTATAATCAAGATGTGTTGTAAGGTTATCGTCATTACAGCATTGTACTGGGGTAGAGATAGACCACTGTGCTGCCATTGATTAATTTCCTTGAATTTATAATGTAGTGAGCCTTTTTATAGACAGAGAGAGCCTTGGTGTGCTCTGACCTGGAGGAGGTTTTTTGGTCATTCACCCAGAAACCCATACTCCTAAGTAGTGCTGTTCTTCTCAAGCTCCCCAAGAATAAGAACCACGGCTAAGTGTTGAGGGCTTGAATAGACTTTCCTGCTGAGATACAGACCACATTCAAAGTGAGTTAAAAAGCGAGCTACAAAGTTAAAACAGTGGCCAGGCACAGAGTTAGGCTTGAGGTACTGTCCAACTTGAAATTTTTTTTTTTTTTTTTTTAATGTGTAGAAATTCAGAGAAGCTCCCTATGGAAAAGAAGAACTTGATTTTGGCAGGAGAATGACAGTCTTTGAAAGAAACTCAGAATTCAAGAATAATACTGTCCTTCAACTTAAAATCAACTACATACAACAGTCCAAAAAGGAAAGAAAAATGACAGTTTACAAGGTGTAGGTGATTTCCACATGTTTATAGAGAGCATTGACACAGAGCTTTGACACGCTTATACTTTATTTGAAATTAAATTATGCTAATTATTGAAATAAATAAGGGTTTGCCTTTATACCTTGGAGCTGTTTTTGATTTCTCTCTTTCTTTCATCTTCTGCCTGCCCACATTCAATTCTAAAGCAGATCCTGCTGGCTTTGCCTACACGATATGTCCAAAATCTGACCACCAGCTCGAATGCTGTTACTCTTGATCCTGGCCCCAGCTGCTAGCATTTCTCACCTGGCTTTTGGCCATAGCCTCAAAGTACTGTCTCACTTCTGCCCTTTCCGTGTCATAGGCAGAATTGATCCTTTCAAATGCAAGTCACATCATGTTCCTTCTGGTCTCAAAAGGCCTCAATAGTTTCCCATTAAATTTAGTGGAAAAGTCAAATTTCTTACCATGATCTACAGGGATTTACCTTGTCTCACCACCTTCCACAGCCCACCACCATCCACCCTTCAGAAACTGCTCTTCATTGACTCTCAACCAAGTGACTGTTAGGTCACCACTCAAATACCATTTTCTCCTTCAAGGCCTCTGACCCACTTACTTAATACTGGATACCATCCCTCTCACCAAGACTCCCTTTTACCCCTCCTTCCTTTTTTTCTAGAGAGATGAAATGATCTAACATATTATGTAACTATATTGTCAATTTTTCTTCCCCCATTAGGAGGTAAGTTCTGTGAGGGTAGGGGTTTTTGTCTGTTGGCTTACTGATGACTTCTCAGTACCTGAAAAAAATGCCTGACTTAGGTTTGGTATTCAGTAGATATTTGCTATGCAATTATTATGAATATCAGCAAAAGAAAGTTTGATGATGAAACTGTTTAAAATTGAAATATTTTGAATTTGGTACTTTTTCTTATTCTTGGTGCTTATGCAAAAGTTTAAAAAGTACTCTAGAATATTGCTTTATGAATAAATCTGTTTTAAGCTGAAGCATTTATTCTAGTTTTAAGTTTTAGTGTGACCTTGTGTTTTATTTTTCTTAACAGTTGTCCATTTTTCATAATGGTATATAGAAAGTATCATTTGAATTCTCATTAGACTAGGACCAATTTATCCTAAAAAGCAAAGTGAAAGTGACTACAGCAAACCTTAGCTAGCTATCTTATAATTTCTGAGAATTGAGTTCTTATGGTAATTTTCTGCATAGATGAGAGTTACTATTTCTGGGTAGCAGCTTTTAAAACTTCTTAACCTTTTGAACGTCAGTATTTCCAAAACCTTTTCACTTTTCTCAAGGAAAACATAATGTATATAATTTCATCTGTCAAAAATAATTTAGTCCAAATGAACATGGGTTGTTACACTGTGTTAAGACATTTACATTTATTGAGGTATATAGTTGTTTACTTCATTGATATATTTCTGTGCTTAATTTCATGGTTTTAAGCCTCTTTAAATTTAAATTTTCTTTTATCTTTTGCTGTCACATTATTGCCAGCTGTGCATGGGATCCAGATGACCAAACTTTATAACTGAGACATGTATATTGGCCAGGGAAGGCCTGTAGTGATTTCTCATGAATCAAGAACACATGCTTTACTCTTCAAACCTTATGATACTAATTTGGGTTTTTCAGAACCTTTCTCCTCTTATTTCCTTGCCTGTTTTACCAGGTGGGTCATTGTCATGGACTTCAGAGCTGGAAGAGGGCAGCCTGGGTCCCATTCCCTCTGGTCTTCCTACTGATCCCAGGAGTGACCTGTGACTTTTAACATCCATCACAGCTCTTATGCACTGCTTCTGATCAGGGGTTTTCTCTGTTCAAACATACTGGTACGAGATACTGTCTCAAAGCCTCTCCCTCCTCCCCCAAAGTAATCTGATTTTTTTGAGGTACTCAGGAGGTGGGTTGTTACCTTTTAAATTCTTAACAAAGTTTGGAAGTGATATAGAAAGGAACTTCCTCTCTCCCTCCCTTTTGCTTTCCCTCTCTTTTCTCTTTTCGACCTGAATTATGTAGCAAAAGTTGACGATGTGCCCATTGATGCAAATGGTTGTTGCATGGCTACATGTTGGGGCACCTATAGTCTCAGTATTTTGGGGGTATCCTAGGAGCAGGACAAGGCCTCTGTGGCACTACAACGTGGGACAGAAGTCAGAAGTAGGTTCGCTGTGGCACGAGGAAGTGACTGCAGCTGGGAGGGAGCATTTAGCATTCTCTTCTGTCCTTTTACTCCAACCATTTCCATCCTTCGAAAGACTTCACTGGGACCCTGGATAAAGGTAAGGCAGGTTCTAAGGCTGGCAGGTGGGGTGGAGGTGGGAAGGTTCCGGGGGCAGAGTCCTTCAATAAAAAAGGAAAGGGATATTGTAGGAGTGGAACTGGGAAGAAGTTAAACCTTGGTCATCTGGGTGTGGCTAATCATTAATATATAAAGAACCAAGTTTGCTTACTCTGTCTTTTTGCACCTGGTGTTAGTGTATTTGTGAATAGTGTATTTGTGAATAGTTAGTGTATTTGTGAATAGTGTATTTGTGAAAAGAGGTGTAGAAGACCCAAAGTACCATTGAAGATAAACATAAAAACATATGGGTTCTATTTTATGACTTTAATTATAATTTTGTAGCCTTTAGGGTTGTTTTTATTTCCACAAAGTCGACTTAGATTTAGATTACCTTAGATTTCATTTTTAGTAAGATAACTAACACTTGCAAGGTTAACGTTTAGGGTCTGTACTTTGTACTGAATGGCTCTAAATTGGTTTTGTGGGGAGGTTGGAGAATTTGCCTTTAGAGAATCTATAATGGCTTAGTAGTCCCAGTTACATACATTTTTTTTAGTCAACTTCTTGGACCTGATTGAATGATTCACTGGTTGAATACTAGCTCTTTTGCTTGAAGCTTTTAACCCATGAGGTAGAGGGGAGGGAACAGGAGAATGAATGAGAACAAGAGCATTACCAGAGTGTGGGGGCAGGAAGGGGAGCTAAGTAATTACCTATAACCACTAGAGGCCTCTCTTAAGCCAAGTTTCATGGTTAATATCACCAGGTTTCCATAATGGGGCCTGGCTCTGTCATTGTAAATTAAGCATATTTTATGTTGTAGTTCAGAATAAATAGTATGAGAGCACTTTTTTCCTAGAGCATATATTATAATGTAACCCAAATGTTTTCTTTAATGTGTTTATCAGAACAACTGATGATTTATTAGACTGAAAACAAATTAGAAATCTCCCTCTGCTCTTTCACTCTAAATGAGCTGTTGATAAAAACATGTAATCAAAGAATATGCCCAGATGAAAATTATATGCCTCTTTGACAGTGCAAGGATATTTAGGTTTAAAATTATTACTGATTTAGCATGGTGTGTTTAGTTGTTGAGAGTAGTATATATTTTTCTGATGTAGACTATAAGTAAAGTTATTTTAGGTTGTATATTTAAAATTTCATTATTATAAGCTTCTGATATCAAAAATCTATTTAAGAAATGATTCAAAAACTTAGGCTTAATACTGTCTGGGGTAAAAATAAGTGCTTTCCTTTAAGAATAATGAAAATATCATTTTTCGTTTGGAATTATTTTGGATGTGGGTTGACCTTGTGGAGATGCAGGCAGAGAAGGCAGGGTCATCCTGTCTGATAAGAATTGTTGTTCTGTTCCACAATAGGAAGGCTGACAATTTGGAACTTTGTTCCACTTTTGACAACTCATTGTTCATATAGGATTTTCTTTGTCACGACCACAACTAGTTAGTTGTACTAATTGGAGCACGTTCTAGGTTCTTGGATGCTGTACTTGGGATGTGACGACCACATTTACTGCCCTGCATGGTGGCCCTTGGATGATTCCTTGGAGTTCCATGAGGGCAGGGGAGTTTTGTGAATTTTGTTCATTACTCTATCCCCCAGAATTTTGAAGAGTGTGCAGTATAGAGAAGATACTCAGTAAATATTTGTTGAATGATCTTATTATTGCATTTCAAAAATAGCATGAAATATGTAGTAAGGAGTTGGTTTTTCAGTGAAAGAAATTAATGGAGAAACTGGTAATTTCTGTAGGGAAAAAACATCCTGAGAGTATCACTCCTGCTACCTGGTCTATTTTTAGTATGACTTATGTTTTAGATATGTTTTGAAGAAGATTAGGATAATGCCTGGGTTCTGATCTTTGTGTCATAAACGTAATATAACAAGGCTTGACATAGTACCTGGTGAGTGGTAAATAAGAGTTTAAAACAACATGTTTTATGCATATCTCCCTTAGTATTCACAGCAGTTCTCCTAATTAGAGGTCAGCGTCATTATTTTATAGGTGAGAAAACTGAGTGACTTGCTCTAGGTCACACAGCTGATGAGGTTGCTGGCCTCCCAACCTCCGCCTTTTTATTACATGCAGCTTCTCACAAAGAGTTTGAGCCGACTTTGTAAATATTTTTCAGATGTGATGAAGTGACAGTGATTTGTGATGTAATTTGAATGTAACTTGCAAGTGTATAAGATATTGGTGATTGCAGTGTGTTTACAAGGAGGGGTCAGGTCTGTTTCTTTCCTGCGGGGCTCTCTTGTCAGAACTGTAAGTGTTCCGATAGAGGCATTTCCATTCTCTATGCTAAGAATTTCTGTTCCCATTTTACAGATGAGGAAACTGTGTCTTAGAAAGGTTAGAAACCTCCCGAAGGGACTCAGCTAATGAGTGGCAGAACTGCAGTTTAGTCTTAGGTCTTAAATTCTGGAACGCTGACATTTTCATAGTATAACTGTGCCTCTTGTTAGAATAGTTATTTTACGATTATCTAACTTCATGCTTTAAAAATTATCATTTGAATTTTACTGATGAATTGCTTCTAAATTTGAGCTTGCAAATATTTTATAACATTTCAAGAATTTTCTTTCACATTTGCCCACCTGTATAACATTTTTTAAAGAAGAGAACATTCCTAAACACTGTGTACACCTTGTAAATCACACTACCATATTTCATTTCATTTGGCATTATTTTTTTCCTTCTACACGGAACTGGAGAAAGCAAGATAAAATTTTATAATTATATTTTTCCATTTCCAATCCTACTTAATGTGTCCCCTTATACGCTTAAATTATTTGAGTTTCACTCAAGATTTTCATTTTGTTGAAACTATTTGCTTTTGCTGTTAGAAATAGCAGTGAAAAGAAAGAAATCCATTACCTCATTTCATAGTGAAAAAAACTTACAGGTACTTTGTTTTTAGTTCAACATTTTAGGTATAATGTAGAAATATACATTTGTTGACTTTCTGGTTTTTGTTTGTTTTGTTTTGTTTTGTTTTTTTGATGGCCATAAAACCGGTACTTACATTTAGGAAATTGTAGCATTTGTGCTATAATTGGTAAGTTTTTCTTGCCTTTTCTATTATAATACCCTGGTCTTGCAGTGTCTAGCTTTTATAATTTAATTTAAAACTTTATTTAAACTATGGTCTACAATGGTTTTTAAAAAGTAAAATTAGAGAATAATACCATTTACTTCTGTAATTTATCTACTCCAAAACTGAAACCACCCTTATCAGTCATGGATAGTCAACCCTTCCAAATACACACACTCCTCGTCACATGCTTTTGTTGCTTTTCCTTCCAAGAACTTGGTTTTCTCTCTGTTTGTGTTTTCTTTTATATCTTTAAGTTACATGGTTTCTTATACAGCTGTTACACATCTTAAGTTTATTTTTCAGTACTTTATGCATTTTTGTTGTTATTGTGAATAGCGTCATCGTTATTACAGTTTTTCCTTTTTTTCCCCTTTTCTGTGTGTAATGGAAGAGGTTAAACAAATTAAGAGTACTACATTACCATGTCAATAACACATACATTTTAGCAGAGCATATAATGGGAAGCAGTATTTTCCATCCCTGTTTCTAGGCCCGCTCCTAAACACAGCCACTTTTAACCACTTCTCTGTTTTGTTCTGATGGCCACTTCCATATCTTTAA